TTTTGAGCGTCCTTCGAAAGTTATTACTAGTCATAGGACACATACGAGGGTTTCCTGTGAAAACAACAATCTTTACACTTACTTCGAAGGTGCGAATATACTTGTTTATGAAGTTCCCAGTCTATCTTTGTAACATAAGTATGGATCGTGCAACTGCCTAGTTCCATAAAAAAAATCTGTGGTGTTGACTCAATTCTCATTATGTTAATGAGCTTATCTGAAAAATTTTGACTTTGCGATGTATTCTCCAACCTTAGTGGTAAGGTGCTTCAGAAATTCTTAAGAACAAGTTTTAAAGCATACTTGACTGGTTTAAAGTTCTTTATAATGACATATATGCTTTAGGTACTGAGTTTATATCGCGATCTTATACGATACTCGAAATCATTAGTTTATACGGATAAGAACTATTTTACGGCGAGAATTCGAGAAGAGTTCCACAAGAATCGCAGCAACCCACCGGCCATCGCTGAAATTAACTATAACGTGGGAATCACTTGTTATGCCGTTTGTCTGAGTATTGAAATCTCATGGCATATTTTTCAAAGAAAGGGCGGAAGCTTTTGTCGTTGAAACGTTTCATCTGAGAAATGGTTTGTATATTAGGAATTGAAGGCTCAGCAAACAAAATCGGAGTAAGTTTTGCTTTTTCTTTTCAGTTTTGAACTTTAATTCGCATACAATTCATTAGGTGGGCATAATTCGAGATGGTGAGGTCCTGTCAAATCCGCGGGCGACTTTTCATGCACCACCCGGAGAAGGCTTTCGACCCAGCGAAACCGCACAACATCATCGTCAACAGGTGCGTGCTACGTGAATTACTTTTTATTGTTTTGTAAGATAGAAGTAGAGTTTTTCAAACTTGTTTCAGATTTTGAAGATTCTGACGAAAGCGCTCAGTGATGCAAACATCAGAGATCCCGAAAAAGAGATTGATGCCATAGCATTTACGAAAGGACCGGGCATGGGAGCTCCTTTACAGGTAAGGTAGTCTAAATCAGCTAAAAAAGAAATTGGATAAACCTTTTGACAGCTGGGGAATGGATGAAAGTCTGCTAGTTTACCGATTTTTCAGTGTAATTTTTTGGATTTTGACACAAGATTTTGTTGAGGTTTATCATTGTCAGCTATATGATGCGATACTCATTATTGATTCAAAACGGTTGTTTATTTCTCTTCTATACCTAGCTGATATGAATATAAATTGCGGGAAATCATTGGTATTATCAGTTTTTAGTTATTATTCAATTTCTAAAACCTTTTCCCTCCTATAACTGCCAAGAGGCATTTGTCAGCATTTCGATTAGTGTCCAGGTTGGTGCTATAGTTGCTCGCACACTATCGTTGACATGGTCTTTGCCCCTAATACCCGTTAATCACTGTATTGGTCACATCGAAATGGGCCGTCTTATTACGGGCGCACACAATCCTGTAGTATTGTATGTTAGCGGAGGAAATACGCAGGTGAGAGTTAAACTTATTCTGCCTTTGAAGCTGCTTAAGTTGTTATTTAGGTAATTTCATATTCTCACTACAAATATCGCGTATTTGGAGAAACAATTGATATAGCTGTAGGCAACTGTCTTGACAGATTTGCCCGCGTTGTCATGTTGCCAAATGATCCCAGCCCTGGTTATAATATTGAGCAAGCAGCCAAGAAAGGTTGGTTTTTGAATAACTAAGGACTGCTAGGCAATCAGTCATAAAACTGCCTTCAATGTTGATCGCTCTGATGCTTGCAAATTAAATATCAAAAAAAGTTCTAAAGTTGAAAGTATACCTTCGCCAAGGCATGTGCGTTTTACCGATAAACCCAGGGCTGTGCTTGGTTATCGAGTTAACCAGACAATCAAAATTCCGTAATTTGTAGGTTATTTCATCCACATGAAGAAGTTTTAGAAAGCTCTGGGTGTCTTCTTCTTTACATTTACATTCCAAGTAGGAGAATTCATGGATATATGTGTAGATCCGGCTAGGAATGGCTTGAATCTAGCCACTCATTATCAGAAACTAAGATAAATACCTTTTATTTCTTTTATCATATATTATTTTATTCTTTTGCACATTATCCTTGGAAGAAAATTGTTTATCGGTCGTGGATAAGAGAAAAGGTGCTGTATCGAACTTTGGTTCTCTCCCCTGTCATTATCAGCAATCAGTTTTCAAGTAGGTTGCTTCCAGGAAGCAAGCTGTTAGAATTGCC